GGGCGGGGCCAGGGACTCATCCGGCCGGCACAGGCGTGACCTGCCGAGCGCCGAGCGGCCCTCCCGGTGTCCCTCCCGGTGCCTCCCCCGGTATCGCTCCCGGTGCCCCTGCCGGTGTCCCTCCCGGTGTCTCCGCCGGTGTCTCCCCCGGTGTCTCCTCCGGTATCGCTCCCGGTGCCCCTGCCGGTGTCTCTACCGGTACCTCTCCCGGTGTCTCTGCCGGTGTCCCTCCCGGTGCCTCCCCGGTATCGCTCCCGGTGTCTCCCCAGGGGCGTCTCCCGGTGTCTTTCCCGGTGCCTCTCCCGGTGTCTCTCCCGCTGTCACTCCCGGTGCCTCCCACAGTGTCTCTCCCGGTGTCTCCTCCAGTGTCTCCCCCGGGGGCTCTCCCGGTGGTCTCCCCCGGGGTCTCTCCCGGTGTCTCTCCCGGTGCCTCCCGCAGTGTCTCTCCCGGTGTCTCCCCCGGTGCCCGGAGCTCCGCTCGGGATGTGCTGCTCGGCCTTGGCTGCTGTCACTTAGGCTCATCACCCTTCCCCACACAGTGTTTGCAAAGCTAAAACATCCAGGTCAGTCTAAAGCAATTCAGTTTGCAGCTCTTCAAAGATTAGTTAGTCCTCATCCAGCTAGTTGCAGCAGGAAGAGGTATCTGGGGACAATTGCAGCTTACTGCAGTTCTACAGGTGCTCTTGGGGGTTGCCTTTGAGTCAGGCTTGGCTAACACTGTGCACCACTGCAAACAAGGCACAGCTCAGGAAAGAGAAGCTTTCCAAACTCTTGCTCCAGAGGTAAGGTCAGTTCTCTCCTGCCAGGGGAGAGAAAAGCTCAGCTGACAGAGCCTCACATCCCTTGGGTGACTCCTGCTCTGCTGCTCTCACAGTCCTTTGCACACCCTGAGCAAATAGGTTCTGAATGTGTTTGGGAGCTGTCTGAGTCTCAGGGCCTGCTCTGTTGCTCAGTTGGTTGTTGGCATTGATGTCCAAGAGGAGAGACTTCAGTGGGAGTGATTCACAGCCACAGCACATCCTGCCAGGAGTGTGCTCCACCTGTGCTCTTCCACCTCTGGTGATACCTGTGGTGCCATTTGGAATGTTAAATAGTGGAGTTTGATCCCAGCACAGGAGGGTAAATTCAGGCTGGAATTAATTCCTGATGATGCCTGTCTACTTGTCAGGGAGTTCAGTGAGGAAAGAGCTTGAAATATCTGACATGTAACAGTGTTGAGTTCAATACAGAGTTTGGGGTGTGAACAGAATGAAAATCAGAATGTTCTTCCTAAGTATTCCCTAAACTACATGGTTAGTTAATCTAAATTAAGGCTGTGTTTAAAATTGGCCTAAATTCAATTTTATAATTTAACAATGAATTTTTTAATTCATTTTAAATCTCCTAACACTGAAATAGGTAGCACAAAACTCTTCCTGCAGCATCAATTATCTGTGATTGTAATTATCTGAGAAAATGTTTTTCATTGTTTGTTGAGATGGATCTAAACCATTTTCTGTGTTTCTCATATTTTTTTCCTGAGAACTAAAATATTTGCGTATTGCTGTTCCTTTTACCAGAGCTCACATGTTCAATATACTCAAGTTGCTTATAGTAAACATTTTGATGCATCACAAACCCATTTAATTAGCCTGTGCAGACAGGATGGAAGCCACATCTCCATGCCAAACCTGAGATTTTTTCCCTGTGTTTGCAGACTCATCAATCCAAACTGACAGCATGTTGGTTTGTAGGAGCTGCAGCTGACAACTTGGTGAGCCCCATGGATCTGATTTGCTGTTAACTGCTTCAGTGCTGGCAAGGCAGTCACCTTCCCACATTTCTGGTCTTGGCTGCTTTGGCTCAGGGAACTTTTCACAAATTCTTAATGTATCTTTCATTTGTCTTTTCTCTCTTCTCCTCCTCTTCTTTTTTTCACAATAGTTTCTTTAGACACCCCACACAGTACCAGCTTCAGAACCAAGAGGGAGTTTAGAGTGGAAACATTTGCTTCTCTGTGAAAATTAGTTGAAATCAGCAATCATATTTCAGACATCCTCTTCAGATCACTTTCCCTAGTTTTCCCAGTCATAATCTTACATTTCCCTTCTACAAATCAGCTATTAAATTGTCTGTGCTGCATCATACTCATTGTATCCATCAGAGAGAGAAGGTGGCAATGAACTGACTCCTGATGTGGCATGTCAGATCCTGGTTTACCTCCATCCCGTGTTACAGGAGTATTTGTGTAATTTATTAAGTCCAGATTTCCCTTCTTCCCAGTTCATGTGAGTGTGAAGAAGGTGAGGGAATGGTAGCAGTCAGTGAGGAAGGTGTTCCTTCAGTCTATGCCAGTGAGATCTCTGTCCTGTCTGGGTCACTGGCTCAGTTCAAACCCAAATGGCTGAGATAAGAGCTGTTTTCTCCCCTGGGCTGGGATCATTCCATTCCATTGGTACCTGACATGCCCCATCTCTGGCAGGAGCCACTATCATGCTCCACAAATCACAATTTGTGCCCTGATGAGGCTTTGGCTCTGCTTCACCCTCCCCAGTCCTCCTTTGTTCCCTGGAAGCAAAGTGAATTGGCTGATAGCTGACAAATGCCCTTTTCTTGCTTTCCTTTTTAGGACTTTTAAGCTGCATTGGTTTCATCAAGGAAAACAAAGCAAAGAAGTCTTCACACAGGTCTAAAAGTAATCTCAAGGCAGGTAGTTAACTCAGTTTTCTTTGGGGGCCTCTGTGTCCAACCCAAATCCTTCCTCAGTGCCCTGCAGGAGTGGGAGGGAAGTTTCTGCACTCTAATGCAGATAGTCCACAGACCCATTTCCTAAAACCAGGAGGATTTCCCTCTCTTCATCTTTTGTGTCATGTCTCTGCACTGTCTCCCTCAGGCTTATCCCTCCTGTGCTGCTTCTCCACTTGTGTTTTATCCATAGCAGTATCCTGGCTGGTGCTTTGAGGGTTTAATGTTACCTGAGTGAGTTACCAGGGAAGCAGTGACTGTTTCAGATGTGGTGATGATATTGTTTTCAAACTTTCTTCAACTAATGAGCCAGGCTAAGTAGTAATAAAGGTGTTTGTTGGGGCCACATGTGCCTCAGAAACACTCAGCCCATGCTAATTTCAGTGGGTCAGCAAAGACATCAAGGGTGATAAGAGTGTGTGGGAAGGGCACAGAGCGGTAATGGTGAGAGGAGCTGAAAATAGTTGAAGGAAATGTTAATTATACAACTAGTTCAGGTGAACTTTCTCCTCCCATTGAAAACAAAGCTCATTTTGAAGACACTTGTAAAAGCTGTGCTTTAGGAATCAAACTCCCTGATGTCTCAATAACATCCAGAAATATACAAGTGGAGTAAACAAAGAACTCATCTGTGCTTGCTTGAGTCTCAATTAAAGCTGGAAATAAGACTTTGCATGACTGTGCCATGTCAGGGCCAGTGCACAGCTTTGCTCTCTGGATTTAATCCAGAATCTGCAAAGGGTAGGGGTGACTTTTCCAATGACTTCCATGAGATGTGCAATTAACAAATTTTTGCCTTGTGGCTAAATAGTATATATATCATATTGCACTGTATTTGCTAATCAAAAAAGCAGATGTAATCTGATATATGTATCAGATACTGAGAGAAAATGTACTTTCAATCAAAATGAAAGCACAAACGTGCTGACCACCAGCATGCAAGAAGATTATGCCTAGAAAACACCTTTGGATGGTAATTGGTTTATCTTTCTTTAGCTTGGGTTGGCTGGATGTTTTTCACACTGTTCCTGTAGGTTTGCACAACCAATAAGGACACCCAGAGTTGACTATTCATGTTTATTGAGCCATTCATACCAAATAAACACTTTTGGGAGTCTGACCACAGGATGTAAAAGCATTCCTTTGAGAGGAGGGAAGTCAGAAATCCTCCCTGGCAGAAAAGGATCTGTGAAATGTCTGAGGAGCAGGCAGGGTTTCAATGGCATGGCTGAGGTGTGCACACACCAGGGCAGCAGTTCCAGTGTGGGCTGTACACAGCTGGGATCACAGCTCGTGGCTGAGGTGCTCAGGGACACCTTCACCCTCTGCACTTAGCCTCTTAGATGAAAAGGGTTTTGCTGTGCCACTTCCAAGTCAAACTATGAAGTTGCTCATCTGTTCTGTTCCAGCTGGAACAGTTCCTGTCTGTAGTGCTTACTGTCTGGACATGAGAGTTGGTCATGATCAACATGACCAACTCTCATGTCCCGACTGTAGTGCACAAGGGTTCAGGTCTCCAGAATGTTAAAATTTACAGCTGAAAACCTGCTCAGTTTCATTTGGAAACAATTGGCATCTGTTGTTTAGTTTCCTCCCTCACTCTTAATTTACTGATTTCACTGATGTGAGAGGAAACCACATTAGCAGCATCAGAATAGAAATTTAAGAGCCTGTTTTAGTCCTTTAGGAACACCTAGTTGGATTGTTCTGGGTGCATAAGGAAATGAGCACTCCTGACTTTCTCAAGTGGGGGAGTTGAGGACGCTCAGTACTTGCCTCTTCCATTCAGCTGGTCCTTCAGTTCCTTTGCTTCAAGTGTGTGACAAAGCCATTGAGTTCGGTGGGACACGAACGCAGAGACAGGCAGGTGCAGAGCTCAGCAGCAGGAAGCCAGAAGGGAGTGAACAGAATGTGATAGTGATCTGGCAGTTTACTTCACCAAATGCAAACGATACACAACCATTTTCTCATTCCTCTGTTTCGCTCTCCCATGCTGATCTCTTCCCTGGGTGCTGACGTTTTTCTTCTACCCTGTCTCTGCTAACATCTCCTGCTAAATCAAGCAACAAGCTGCCTTTGTTGCAGGTGAAGGGCTCCTGGAAGTTGCAGGGGCCTGTGTCATCTGAGCTGTCAGAATTCCAGAGCCTTTTTCCAGGGTGCTGCCGTTTCTCACCGTGTCGGTCGTTGACGTCTCCCTCGTAGTTCCAGCCTCTTTTGTGAGGATGCTGGTGCTTGTACACCAGATACCTCCTGCCTGGATGCTGTCTTTTGGATAACTCACCCATGGAGGTGAGCTGTGCCCCGGGGCTGTCAGCAAACTGATTCAGCAGTGACCTTCTGCCAGGAGGCTGCTGCTTTTCCAGCTCCAGGTAGACATCAAGGTCATCTTCCATCTCTCTTTTCCCTGGATGCTGCCTCTTCTGAATGTCTCCATAAGATGTGTCTTTCTCAACATCTCTTTTTCCAGGATGCTGTCTCTTCTCCAGGTTACTTAGATACTTTTCCCCAGGGTGTTGTCTTTTGGAAAGCCATTCTGGCAGAGGAGCATTTGATTCTGTCCAAGGGAAAAAAATAGCATTAATGAGCCCCCATAATCCTCACTAAGGAAGTTGAAATGGGACTCTCTGGAGTTTTGTGGTGCAGGATCATAATCTGGTGCTCACTGAAAGCCAATTCAGTGTTTGCAGCTCCCAGCCATAACACTATTAGTATCTCTTACTCATTCTTAAGCTCTTTTTATTACTTCAGGTCTTGGATCAACATGACCAACTCTCATCCTCCATGTGAAGAGGGAGGAAGACTTTTACAGTGGGCATTTGAGGCCAACACCTCTTCCACTCTGGAAGGATTCTGTGCTCTTTGTTGCTCACAGGCACAGATGTGCTGCTTCCTGCCATCCCCAAGTCTGAGTCCCTTTCCCTGCTGTGACTCGTGAGAGCAGAGCATCTGCAGCCTGGGAGGCAGAGACCTGGGAGCAGCCTCCAGCATCCCCAGCTGTGGGAAAAGCCCACATGTGTTGGGGTGTAGGAACCACCAGATAGTAGGTGAATGGTAGCATGCCAACCTCCTGCTGATGTTAGGTACAGGGTCCACAGATAGGGAATGTCCTCCTGCCAGACAGGTGAATGCAGCAGCTGGTACAGCCTTGCCTAAGTGGGGAGATCTCGGAGAAGAAAGCACATCTGGAGAATTCCCTGTCTTTGTATTGCAGCAGCCCTTGTACCCTTCCCCTGCCCTTAGTGACAGAACCTGGGAACCATACCTTGGGTCTAAAGATCTCAGCCAAGTGCTATGCCAGCATCACCAAACGGATGTCCCAGTGGGATACATACCTTGATTCATCTCTTCTTCCTTTTCAGCTTGCCTGAGGATAGACTGAAGAATGAGGCTTTCAGACCTCTGCAGGTTGTCATCCTGGGAACCACTTCTGATGCTCTCACTCTCCTCTGGAAGGGACTGTCCCCCGTTGAGGCAAACACCACACAAGGTACAGCAGAGGAGTAGCAGGGGCAGCTGGATTGATGGCATTGTGGGGTGGGGGTTCCTGCAGCTTCATGGGACAGAGAGCAACAGGGGGAAGGATGGAGCAAACAAACCTAGCAGTAACAGCAATATTCCCAGACTCCCCAAAGGAAATGCAGCTCTGCATTTTAGGGTCTAAAGCCCAGTCTTTTAGGGTCCTTCCTCACTTCTGTGGCTAAACTCTGTTTATTTTATGTCCTCCAAAGAATCTGTCAATTCTTTATAATTAAACCCAGGCACTTGTTCATTTTTTTTCTGGCAGAATAAATACGAATATTTTATATACAGATAATTCTTAAATCCAGTGATTTCCCTTTGCCTTTTGCCAAGGATTTGATTTCTCCCTTGAACTCTGGGTTAGGTGTTGCCCTGTGAGGTACAACCCACAGTACCAACCCACCAGGCTATTCCCTTTACAGTACTGGGATTTGCAGCACTGCCATTCCACCTTTAGTTAAAGCCAAACCTTAATAGTCTGACAGTGTTTTACTGTCCATTTCTATACCTGTAATGTATAGATAATGTGTGTAAGATATCAATGTGTCTGTCAGGATGAGAGCACAGCTGTGTTCTGTGGCAGATTTCTTGCACTGGAGAAGCACTCGTGGTTTTTTTCAGTCATAATGACAATTGTATCCTCTGTTATCTCTTGCCCAGATAACAAGTGTTTTTCTATTTCTCCTTGCTAGCACTGAGTTCCTAACACACTTCAGGATTTGTTTTCCAGCAAGCAAAGTTCCTGCAGTAGAGTGGAATATGTCTTTAGTACTAGCATAGCAGTTGTTTAGCTTAATTAGACCTTCGGAACATAAAAGGAATGAACAATTTTTCGAACTTCTACAAGTTTTTAGATAGGGAATGAGCTTATTCCCTTCTCCTCCCTTCTGCTTAAGTCCTTACAGCCCTAAGGATATCATATAGGCTGTTTGGCTCAGAGCAGTCTTCAGACTTTGCAAAGGCAGAATCTGCTAAAAAGGAAATGATCTGGTACATTACCTGGTTTGTGGTTTCAGATGTTTATTTGCAGCATCTGCCAAGAGACTGATGGTCCTTTAGAGCTGTTCACACATCTGAGGTTGCCTCTTGCTGCCACAGACACAAGGAGTATCCACAGTGCCACTGCTGTGAGCTCTTTGGGTGGATTGTCGCTGTACTTATACTGTGCTGCCTCTGGACCCTGTATGCAAATAGCTCTGAGGCAATTTAGGGGATGTGATGTGTTGGGTTTGGTTTTTTTACTGCTCTCACAGAGCTGTGTTTTGAATGCATTTTAAAATTCTGCTGGTTGTTTTCTCACCTCCATGTATTCATTCATATTGTAGCTTTGCCATTCTCTAGAGATCAGGTTGGATTTTATGTAACTCAGTGTAAAGACAAGAAGTTTTTTTTTTCTCTGCTTAGAAAAATGAAGCTTGTGTACCTTTCATTAAGCAAGCACTGTGGAGTAAATGCAGAGATGTAGGTGATTGATTAGGCTAGGGAAGAAAGACAATGACAAAAGTGGGTTGTATTTAAATAAGTTTATACCATGGGTTCTTATTGTGAATCACACTATGCAGTTTTTGGCTTGGCAGAGACTTCCACAAACAGTACCTCAGAATATGGTGTTCTGTGCTAGGTATTAAAACATGGTTATGTTGCTGTTATGTGCCCCAAACAGCATTGCACTATTGCAACTAGAAATCAGACTCCCTGTCTACAGCCCCATGCAAAGCTTCTCAGCAGCTGCAAAGTTGTATCCACAGTGCAGTGACCAGGACTTCCACCTTGGCTTCTTTGCTGAGACTGATTTTTGTCTTACTGTGGATGGATTTAGTCAAGTTTTAATGCTTTGTTTACAGGAAGAGTGTTAAAATTAAGCACCTCAACATGTCTTTTTTTTAATGAAAAATGTCCTTTTCCTATTTCACAGCTGGAAAACTGTCATTTTTAATATACTGTCTTTCTTTTTAGAGTTCTGTTTTGCTTTTTTGGCCACATTTTGTTTTTTTCTGTTTCATTTTTCCTGCAGGTGATTTTTCCATTTAAGAATTCTGGAGGTTTATTTTATAAGTGTAAATGTCCTTTCTTCCCACTCACTGCACAATTACTCATGATACTGAGTTGCATTCATGAGTAGGAGGGAGAGTTTGTTTTCTCAAACTCCAGAGTCTCCCAAGCTGTACTTTTCTGTATGTCACCACTGACACCCCAGACTTGCCCAGAGCTTGTGTCAGCACAGGGTTTGGCTCCCAGTCCACATGTATGTCTGAGATTGGTTCTAGAATTGCACAGAGATGCCCAACTACCCCATTTCACACCCAGACAGAGCATTTCAGCACCACTGTGATCCTCAACCCCTTTGTCCAACCACTGTGTTTTATCACAGGTGCATCAAGTCCCTTGAGCTTGAAGAAACCAAGGCAGACAACTCCTCCAAAACCAGTCAGAACGTTATGTGCAAGCTGTGAGGATTGAGGTTTGTGTTCCACCCCTCTCCCACCTGCCTGTGCTTGTGTTGCTGGCTCAGCTCACTCCCCACACCTGAGCAGGAGCTTGGGGCCTCCCCCTGGCTGAGCACTTGCCCAGCTCAGTGCTGGTGTTCATGGGGATTGGGTCTGTCACTGGGCACACAGTTGTCGGTCCTTAAAAAGTTCTTGAAGGTGAATAATGAGGAAATTCTGCTGCTAAGCCAAGTCTGACCTCTGCTCTAAAGAGTATGAACACTCATGTTCTGTGCCCTCAGTCAGGTGTGACTGTGTCAGGCACTGGAGTAGGTTGTCACCTGCTACAGAGTCACCATCTGGATCTGGTGCTGGAGGATGTGGTTTAGGGGTTACAGCAGTGACAGGTGAACGGTTGGACTTGATCTTAGAGGTCTCTTCCAACCTGGTGTGGTCCTAAGGCTGTGTTTCAGTTGACACCCTCCTCCTCAAAGCTTCCAGAAATGGCAAACCCTCCTGCTCTGACTGTAAGCCCCACAGTTTTACAGTCTGCAGACAGAAAAGTGTCAAAGCTCAATCTCTTGAATTCATTGAAACTAACAGAACATCCTTTGAGGAAACTCAGTGTAGGGAGAGATTAAGCTTTGTGCTTTAATGAACAGGATGAGTATTGAATGAGATGAGAACATTCATTTCTGTGTGGAAGTTTGTAATAGAATCACTGGGCAAATTCCATGTGCAATTCCATGTGAGCTGCCCTCAGCAATCTGAACCCACAAAGGCCAAGGAAGGCTGTTAAAGCAGAGTATCCCACATAGCATTGACACTGTTGCCAAAAGCTGTGTAAGTAACACATTCCTTGCAAAGGCTAAATAGTTTCCGTGTTCCATGAGGAAAATCATTGTGACATTAGTCCCACGTATGGTTTTTTTGACAGATTTTTCAATATTAAACAGCATATTATGGAAGCAAAACTTGGCAGGCTTAATTGTATACTTAGGAGTCAGCCTAACTCACAGTTTGTTCCTTCTGGGATGGTGACAGTTTGGAATTAAAGGTCTCCATGGATTTGCTGGAGTGTTTCTTTATTTTGTAATTACTCCACAATGTTTATGCAGGGTTGTTTCTATAGTTTTCTAGTCAGGAGAACCCTGTGAGTTGGGAAGAAAGTGGGCAGCTTCTCCAGGTGTATCTCTGTGCCCTGTCTCTTGTTTCAGGCACAGTCCAGGCTCTTTCAAACCAAATCATGTCACTTAATGAAGCAAGCAAGACCCTGTGCCTTCAGGCACCAAAACCCTCCAGCTGCCCAGCCTGTTGTGCTTTCATAGCTGCTAATGACAGCACTCAGGAGATTCTTCTTCATTTCCAACAGGGAATTAGTCATTGGACAAAGCAAATTTACAGCTCAGTTTACCTTGCCAAAATACTGTTTTTATGGTGATGTGAGTTTCATCATGTAGCAAGAATAGATTGAGGGAAATTTGATTTGGTGTGATGCAAAACATCCAGCTTCCTTTTCAGAAGTGAGTCTGATTCACTGTCTGATTACTGTCAGGTAACTTGCAAAGTAACTGGAGGGTTGGAGACAGCAGGTCACTACTTCCCATAGCAATTAAAGCAGTGACACACTGGTGTGTTTGCTCTGTGCTGGTCCCTTACACTCACTGCTGGCACATACTAATTATGACAGAGAAGCCATAATTGGGTGTGAAAGGGAGAAAATTTATGGAGGAGAGGAGAGTTGATAAAGGATTTAGTGTTTGATGCCAGGTGTTTGAAAATGGTGGTTTAGATGTTGAAGTCCCCAGTCCTCAGCTTGCAGCCAGTTCTCCTCTCCATTTCACTGGGAGCAATCAGCACAGAGCACAGAGGTATTGATCAGGCATTGGAATGTGCTGCCCAGGGAGGTGGTGGATTCACCATCCCTGGAGGTTTTCAAGGTGAGACTGGATGTGGCACTTAGTGCCATGGTCTAGTGACCACAGCAGGTTTGGACTGGATGATCTTGGGGGTCTTTTCCAACCTGGTTGATTCTATGATTCTATTATATGATTTGGCTATTCCTCCAGCCAGTCCCCCCAGTTCAGTTGTCAGGCAGAAGGCTGCAAAGCTCCTGAAGGCCTGACAAACATGCTGCATGTCCAGTGGTTGGAGATCAAAGAGCACGAATAAGAAAAGGGAATAAAAGCAGAATGAGAAGTTGCAGAACCATCCTTTGTGCCTGACTGTAGAACATCTTCCTCTTGAAATTCAGATACTTCTATAGCAGCTTTTAAAAATCAGAGTTTTATTTCTAACTATTGCTTGCAGTTGCTGTAAAGGACAGCTCTTCATTTGTATAAAGTATTCCACAAAGTGATCTCAAGGAGTCAGTGCAAATGTGATTTACCTTTCAGTGGTCTATGTAGATCTGATGAGAGGGAGATGGGGCCATGGCAGGACCACCTCAGCAAGGCAGCTGTGTTTGTGCCTACATGTACACAGCACCCAGGAACAGCTGTTCTACTGGAGGAGCATTCTGGAATCAGATGCAGAGAGGAATTTTGGGCAGGAATCTAGTGCCACTGACAGTTAATTTCCAATACCAGTCCAACTGCCTGATCTGGGTGAAATAGTTAACAGTTAGTTCAGGTATTGCTCCTGTTCCCATGTGCCTGTGAGGATGAGTGTTCATTATGTGTGGGCTTTACTAATGAACCATTCCTGTCTTTTTTTATTCTAGTACCTTTATTGTTCTTGCTAGT